AAGAGTGGATTAGTCAAGCTCCCGAGCTGGTGAACCACTATAATCTCATTGTGTCAATCCCCCAATTTCCCATTGATATTAGTCTTCGCTCTTTCGAGCCTCATAGCTCCGACCTGAAGAGCCAGTTACTGATCATTCAATCTGCTCATTAATCCACGCCACGTTGATTATCAATCATCAACTCCCATGGGTGCAATGCAAATTTTAAATGTATGCAATTACTTCTAAACCATGTGTATTGATTAAACACGGGTTTTATGGGACTAAACAGACTTGAACTCAGGACAGGAGTTTACATCCTCTCCCTCTCATTCGACTGCTGAACTAAACTATGCACAGTGTATATAATTGATTTCACTAATAAGAAAAAAGAAATAAAAAAATGGTTTGCATTAGCTCTAACAACATCGCTACTTATGGTAGTTTCCTAGCTAGATTTGAATAAACTAACATGGCAATTTTGAATTACTAGTATTGGCTTCATATTTTTTTTCTTGCGTTATAATGAAGAATTGTTAAACCTGTATGTTATTTTGATTCGTGACTGCAAGACAAATTGTCGGAAAAATATGGGCAAAGCTAGTAATTCGAAACCAAGTGTGTCAACCAAGAGTATAACAAGATCAATATTGGATTGACGGGGAACACACAAAAGGATCCCAACTCTTGGTAGGCTGACTGAATATTAATACAACGTTTGTTGGGAAAAAAAAAAGGTGCCAAAAAAGAAATTTTAAAACTAAAGGGAATCTTACAATGACTTTTCCACTACTTATAAACGGCATCAAATTCATTGGAGAAAAACTTAAAATCTGGAGATAATATTCTATTGACACTCCTTTTAAATCTGTCCTCGAAAGCTTGTCTTGANAGAATAATTTCCAACCATGAGGTCAAATTAGGGGGTCTGATCAAGAGGTCAGACAAACATGTCTGGATAAGAAGTCAGGGAAGGCACGCAGAGCTTAGGTCAGAGCTAGATTCCCCCACCCCACCCCCTCCCATACGCGCCAATAGCGGAAGTGATAAGGAGACAGCTAGATGATAATAGAAATCTGTTAGGTGGCAAAAAGCCACACTCAAGGCATAAAATCCTTAACCAACCAAGATCCTCTCCTAAGATCAAGGAGAAGTCCTCGGATGAATAACAAGGATCTCGGTGCAGATCCCATAGAACTAGAAATAGCCCTATAAATATTGTATAACTCTCCCAAAGCAAAAAAAAAAAAGACCCTAGGAACATAAACCCTATTCTGTAAACTTTCCGAAGGAGGAGAAAAGAAAAAAGGAGTAAGAACCTCCATTAAAGAGTGGATTAGTCAAGCTCCCGAGCTGGTGAACCACTATAATCTCATTGTGTCAATCCCCCAATTTCCCATTGATATTAGTCTTCGCTCTTTCGAGCCTCATAGCTCCGACCTGAAGAGCCAGTTACTGATCATTCAATCTGCTCATTAATCCACGCCACGTTGATTATCAATCATCAACTCCCATGGGTGCAATGCAAATTTTAAATGTATGCAATTACTTCTAAACCATGTGTATTGATTAAACACGGGTTTTATGGGACTAAACAGACTTGAACTCAGGACAGGAGTTTACATCCTCTCCCTCTCATTCGACTGCTGAACTAAACTATGCACAGTGTATATAATTGATTTCACTAATAAGAAAAAAGAAATAAAAAAATGGTTTGCATTAGCTCTAACAACATCGCTACTTATGGTAGTTTCCTAGCTAGATTTGAATAAACTAACATGGCAATTTTGAATTACTAGTATTGGCTTCATATTTTTTTTCTTGCGTTATAATGAAGAATTGTTAAACCTGTATGTTATTTTGATTCGTGACTGCAAGACAAATTGTCGGAAAAATATGGGCAAAGCTAGTAATTCGAAACCAAGTGTGTCAACCAAGAGTATAACAAGATCAATATTGGATTGACGGGGAACACACAAAAGGATCCCAACTCTTGGTAGGCTGACTGAATATTAATACAACGTTTGTTGGGAAAAAAAAAAGGTGCCAAAAAAGAAATTTTAAAACTAAAGGGAATCTTACAATGACTTTTCCACTACTTATAAACGGCATCAAATTCATTGGAGAAAAACTTAAAATCTGGAGATAATATTCTATTGACACTCCTTTTAAATCTGTCCTCGAAAGCTTGTCTTGACTTAGTGACGATAAGTTGGGGAATTACTGATGTAGATTTTTGTTATAAGCATAGCACCACTCCTATTTTCATAGCCTACAACTCTTATGGCAAATAAGTTGAATCTGAGTAATAGACCATCTGTGCAGGTTCTAGACTGAAGTTGAATTGAACCCCTTTTTAAGCATAAAGTTTGAACTAAATTTTACAATGAAAGATTGGTTGCCAAACTGAGGTTAGAAGAGTTGGCAACTGTCTTATCAATCAAAAACTTCAAGAAAAATTGTCAACTTGGTTGGAACTAAAAAAATGGTCAAATTTAGACCTAAGTGATGTGAATCATCAAGGCAGCCAGTGGCGGAGCCATCAATTTTATTACCTTATCATTATACATATTATATTTTTTTAAGTATATTTAATTATATTCATCATATTATTTTCTTAAAAAATATTATTAGGATCTAATTTAATAACTTAATCTAATATAGTCATTGAATTAGCAGTGAGTTTCATCTAACCTTGAAACTCACAACTAATATAACTACTACATTAAATTAGGTTCCTGTAACATTACTATATTTTCATATCATATCAATTAGTGTAAACTAATACCTAAATGACTAACAGTAGACACACTTCAGACATATTTGTATTAGTTTGGACATATATGGTTTTATTTTAAAATCTTTTGATCAACATTACCATTTTATTGTTGATGTACACTTTAGCATTGAATTTAAAACCTAACAAAGGTTAGTGATCTTGTTCACAAATTTTTAAAATAAAAAAAATAGGTGGTATATCCTTTAGTTTACATTTATGTGATTTTTACATTAATTTTATAATTAGTCATTAATAATGAAATCATTAGACAAAACGAGCAAAGTATGAAAATTTATTGGGTCAATTATAACTAACTACAATTAACCGCATTTTTAATAAAAGATTAATTATAGTCTTTTTTCTGTTGTACACATGTATGCATAAAAATTTTAAGGATCATTAATGAAATAAATAGTATAAATATATCATTTTCCTTTTATGGATTAAAATAAAACGTGTTTAGAGTCTCCACCCTATAATATTTTTTTGGCTGCCCATCTAGGTTCAGTATGTCTCAACCAGTTGATGGATTCGGTAATCTGTAGAGTTGACCCCGTATGTTGTTTGTCCAGCTAGGTATTTTTTTGCTAAGGCTTTTGGCCCAAAGTGGTTCCCTATTCTCAAAAGAGTAATACTAAATATATTTAAAAATTAGACTTGATAACCTCAACCGTTGAATAAATAGTGGGTCCTAATAAATGTTATGACCTATAGTGAAATCAATGGTTATAATTATCAAGTCCAGTTTTTAAGTCTATTTTTTAAATTCATACAGCATTGCTCTTCTCAAAAACGTCCATTATAATTTATTTTGGTGAACTTTAAACCTACCATTTGATTTATTGGGATTTAAATTTTTTCTAGACTTAACTTTAGATTATTGAGATACTGATAAAGGCAGCCTAGCACGTTTTGTAGCATCAATAAGAATTCCAGCATTCACAGCTTGAATGACTACTCTGCCGGGTGCAATTCACCTGACCTCCTGGGAAAATCGAAGAGCTTTAACACAGGTTTGGGGATCTCTAGCTCCAAAAGTCCTATGAGGACAAAACAGCCCAATTATACATGACCCTTAATTGAAACTTATTTCAGTGCAAAATGGTGGTTGTATTCTTAATCAGTCTGCATGTATTTGGTTTTGCTAGAAAAAAAAAAATCATTACAGAGATGGAAATGGGAAACAAACTTGTGTGGGTGAACAAAGTTGATGGTCTCGATTTTATCTAGCAATGTTTCCATTGAGAGGTAGTAACATTTTGGTCCTTCAGTGTTATGTCAGATTGCCTGCAAATCAATGCCTTTATCTAGCATTGTCAGTATTGGGCTAAACAATATAACAAATTACTAGAAATGGACATAAAGTATTTTCCAAACAAATCAGAACAAATTGCATTTTATTGATTTTCTATGCTTATCCTTTCTTCTTCCCCAACACAAAAAACCCAATGCTAGGCCGTATTGTCACACTCTGTAGCAAATATGATCGGAGAAGGTACGGGAGGGAAGCATCTCTTAGACCAGATCATCGTCATTTAGGCATACGAAGAGTCGTGGTAGGCAACCTATGCCAGCCGGTATCCGATTAGATGTTATAAGAATGATTGTAAGTTTTGACTTGCAATGGTTGTAAGCTAAATATTACTACAAGGAGTCCAAAGAAACCCATACTCTAGCATTAAGTGTCTTGGTGTATTGGCTTATTTGCTTGTAATCTTACGCACACAATTTATGTTCTGCCAAGCATAATATATGTACGACAATGTCATTCCTTATCAGTTATTTAAGATATCTCTTAAAAACTTTTTAACTGTGGCATATTTGTCAGATAATGATTTTTTTTTCCTGTTTTTTCTAATGGTAGCAACAGAATGATCATCCAATGTTGATTGTGCCATAAAACGTTTCACATTGTTGAATGGAATGGCACGCTGGAGGCATTTGAATCCAAAAAGAAAAAGGCCAAATTCTTCACTTAACAACATAACCTCTCACGGTTCGCATATGTAGTTTATTAATGCATGCCAAGTATAGAAATCAACTATATCAGATCTATACAAAATTGGATGATCTACATCAGAACTATCTCTCGGGTACGTAGTGAGCAACATATCACTAAAATCTACCAATATTAGTAAGCAAACTGGCAGAATTCATTACTATGTAAGCTCTAACCCAATAGTAGAGCTCATGGCCCTTGTGAACTCATTCTAAAACATTGATCTCAAGTGCCAGTAGTACCATGGCTTCCAAATTTCTATACCAATACATTTGTTTTGCTTTGGTTTTCATTACGGGGACTTTGGTTGCTCAAGCAACATCCCGCTCTCTACAAGAGGCATCAATGATGTATGAGAGGCACGAACAATGGATGTCTCATCATGGACGTGTATATAAAGATGCAAATGAGAAGGGAAAACGTTTCAAGATTTTCCAAGAAAATGTTGATTATATTGAAACTTTTAATAAAGCCTCCAACAAGCCCTACAAGCTAGGGGTCAATCAGTTTGCGGATCTCACAAATGAAGAGTTCAAGACCTCACGAAACAAATTCAAGGGCCATATGTGCTCCCCTGCAACAACTTCCTTCCTTCAAATATGAAAATGTGACGGCAGTGCCTTCTACTATGGACTGGAGAAAGAAAGGTGCAGTAACCACTGTCAAGGACCAAGGCCAGTGTGGTAAGTAACAATTTCTAATGACTAAAAGTAGGACTATTAGATTGATGCATCCTGACCCTTGAACTATTGCTCGCATGTAGGATGTTGCTGGGCATTTTTGGCTGTCGCATCCATGGAAGGAATAACCCAACGAACAACTGGTAAGTTAATATCTCTATCAGAGCAAGAGTTGGTCGACTGTGACACAAGCGGTGAAGATCAAGGTTGTGAGGGTGGTCTCATGGATGATGCTTTCCAGTTCATCCAAAAAAATCACGGCCTTGCTTCTGAAGCTAATTATCCTTATGAGGGTACAGATGGAACTTGCAACACCAACAAAGCATCAAACCATGTAGCTAAGATAACTGGATACGAAGATGTCCCGAACAATAGCGAAAGTGCATTACTAAAAGCTGTAGCAAAACAACCAGTCTCTGTTGCCATTGATGCTGGGGGTTCTGACTTTCAGTTCTACTCTAGTGGCGTCTTCACAGGGGATTGTGGTACTGATCTAGACCATGGTGTTACTGCTGTTGGTTATGGGACCAGCGACGATGGAATTAAATATTGGCTAGTGAAAAATTCATGGGGCACAAGTTGGGGTTAAGAAGGGTACATAAAGATGCAAAGAGATGTCGAAGCAAAGGAAGGCCTTTGTGGTATTGCAATGCAGGCTTCGTATCCCACTGCATAAGTTCAAGTCCTACTACATGAATGCCTATGTAAATAACATGCATGGCTTGGTATCATGATTTTCACTCCAAGTCTCCAACTCTTGCTTTCTTCATGGTTGCAGCAAGAATTTGTGCATTTGCCATTCTGAAAATCAGTTTGTTACCAGTCATGATTATGTATAATGTAAAAGTTATCATTATTGATACAATCTGTCATGGTTGGCAGTGTATTGCTGGCATTTATATGCTTCTACATACATGCGGTAGTATCATAGTGAGGGTTGGCTGAAACAATACTTTTACCAAATCATCGTAACCACACATCCTTGAATTCGTGGATGGACGCGAACTCGGGGGTGCACGATGCCACTTGCACACAATTAAAATCGAGATAATCAAAGCATCATTTGGGTAAGTTGAAATTAAGAGCTTGATGTATCAACCAATAAGATCTTACCTCCCTAACTATGCTTACGTGTTACAAACAATCTTAATATAACGAGTTTCACTTACTGCTCTCTTTCGTCTTAAGGCAAAACTAAAATTGTCAGCAGTCATTGCTCAGGAAAGCTATATTACACTTCAATCATACCAACTAGGTTTTTTTTTTTTTTTNAACCCAACGAACAACTGGTAAGTTAATATCTCTATCAGAGCAAGAGTTGGTCGACTGTGACACAAGCGGTGAAGATCAAGGTTGTGAGGGTGGTCTCATGGATGATGCTTTCCAGTTCATCCAAAAAAATCACGGCCTTGCTTCTGAAGCTAATTATCCTTATGAGGGTACAGATGGAACTTGCAACACCAACAAAGCATCAAACCATGTAGCTAAGATAACTGGATACGAAGATGTCCCGAACAATAGCGAAAGTGCATTACTAAAAGCTGTAGCAAAACAACCAGTCTCTGTTGCCATTGATGCTGGGGGTTCTGACTTTCAGTTCTACTCTAGTGGCGTCTTCACAGGGGATTGTGGTACTGATCTAGACCATGGTGTTACTGCTGTTGGTTATGGGACCAGCGACGATGGAATTAAATATTGGCTAGTGAAAAATTCATGGGGCACAAGTTGGGGTTAAGAAGGGTACATAAAGATGCAAAGAGATGTCGAAGCAAAGGAAGGCCTTTGTGGTATTGCAATGCAGGCTTCGTATCCCACTGCATAAGTTCAAGTCCTACTACATGAATGCCTATGTAAATAACATGCATGGCTTGGTATCATGATTTTCACTCCAAGTCTCCAACTCTTGCTTTCTTCATGGTTGCAGCAAGAATTTGTGCATTTGCCATTCTGAAAATCAGTTTGTTACCAGTCATGATTATGTATAATGTAAAAGTTATCATTATTGATACAATCTGTCATGGTTGGCAGTGTATTGCTGGCATTTATATGCTTCTACATACATGCGGTAGTATCATAGTGAGGGTTGGCTGAAACAATACTTTTACCAAATCATCGTAACCACACATCCTTGAATTCGTGGATGGACGCGAACTCGGGGGTGCACGATGCCACTTGCACACAATTAAAATCGAGATAATCAAAGCATCATTTGGGTAAGTTGAAATTAAGAGCTTGATGTATCAACCAATAAGATCTTACCTCCCTAACTATGCTTACGTGTTACAAACAATCTTAATATAACGAGTTTCACTTACTGCTCTCTTTCGTCTTAAGGCAAAACTAAAATTGTCAGCAGTCATTGCTCAGGAAAGCTATATTACACTTCAATCATACCAACTAGGTTTTTTTTTTTTTTTGATTCTCAGGTCAATAGAATCAGAATGCTTACTACATTGCACGTGACAAAAAACCAAGGTGGCCAAGTCTGGTACACGAGTTTCCATTAATTGACACTGTATTCTATGCTATTGTTTAGTGGATAATTATCTCACTTCTAATCAAGAGGTCGTCAGTTTGTACCTCATTGGGGCATGTTTTTCAATATAATCAAGTCTGACCTCAAACAGGAGCCTGAGTCCAAGCTCGTAATACAATAAAAAGCCGAGCTAGAGGAAAACCAATTTGAAAAATCAAGTCTAAGCTTATGTACCTATAAAAAAAAATAGCTTCAAATTCTTGGAAACCAATATTATAAGAAAAAAAGAGAATACCCAGAGTCTCACCTGTAACAAGACCAATGAAAAAAGTATATTGATTAGCAACCAGGCCCCATTTCTGAGAGACCGATTCCAAAATTACTTGTAACTTGTCACTTGATGGGATGAATTTTTTCCCAGTAACGGATGAACTTGCCGTTGCTTCAGACTGTCTTTGTGGCCAACTTATGAGTTGTGGACCCAAAAATTCAATGTTATTCGATGGGAGACAAAATTAGCACTTCTGAACACATTGTACAAAAAGATTACCACCCAATCAGTTGATAAAGCAGAACAATTTTAACACTGCCGAAGATGTCATTGTTGAGAAAAGTGACCCTCCCTCCCTCACCCACAAGTAGGCACAAATGGGGGCCAAGACTTGAAAAATTAACCAGAACCCTACCATTCCCCTACATGCATAAACTATCACAGTCGCTAACTCGGGGTATCAAGTCATATTTTGAACCTTGCTACATTCAAAATGTTTTTGAGGTGACAAAGCTCCAGGAGAATCCTGACCAGTAACAACTTTTATTAATTTCAGAATTCTAATGCAGGCCAGTTGCACAGATGGTGTCGCAACCTAAAAGACACGCTCAGTATAAGATGGAGGAATTCTGGCCTAGTTCAATGACATAGATAGCAAAGGAGGAAAAAAATAAATCAAAAACAATTCTCACCTAATTCTCGCCAGCAATCCCACAAAGGGCCGATACTACCAAAAAGGAAATCGTAAAGCCATGTTACAAAACATTCATTATACTTGCCTTTGAAAAACAATGACCATCCTCCATTGAAAATATATAAATACCATCAAAAAATTCTGCAACCTTCTTATCAAAAACCATGACACCAAATAAACATATGACACAAGTAACATTAGATATTAGAAGGCAATAAACTAGACGAAAAAATTAACGGGGAAAAGTCACTTGAGTATCGAAAGATCGAGGACAAACAAGCAACATAAATACTGCATCACGACTTTGGCATCAAGAGGACAAACAAACAATAGAAATACTGCATCAAGACTTCGGCAGTCATTGAAAAAATAAAACCACCTAATAGCCAAACCAAATCCTCTAAATACCATCCACTATACGGAGAGGGTAAAGCTTGGCGAATGCAGAGCAAACAATACCCAGATATCAAGAGCGTCAGTACACACACTATAACACCCAAATAAGAAGGTAAGATGATCTATCATAAATAAACATGCATCCCCAGGGCATCACCTCTCCCAAGTACATAAAGCAAGTCCTAAGTGACAATGCCGTTCACTGCAAACAGACCATAATAACAATAAGTGCAAGAGCAGAACAGATTAGAAAAGTGCAAATAAGTAAATCGCTCACCTCTACATCATTGCCACCACCTACTTTGCTTGTGGTGTCCATTTTCTGGGCATCTTCTGTTGCAATATAACGAAATCAGAGATTAAAGAATGATCATTCAAAAAGAAACAAGAAATGTGCCACCAGGAGATGATTACCGAGAAAAAAGAATCACCAAATAAAAAGGCCACATATTTATCCACATTGGTTTCATTGGCACTCTCCCCCAACCCCAGTACCTATTGAGGGTTTGGGAATTAAGGATCTAGAAACGAATAAGAAGTTTAGGACATGTTTGGTTTGCATCTCAAAAAATAGTATCTGAAAACTATTTTTAGAAAGAGTTTTAAGAAGTGTTTTCAAAAATTTTAAGATTACAAAACCTGTTTGGTTGTATATTTTTTAAAATAGTTTTAAAGAACAAAAAATAGTAAAACTTATTTGGACAATGATCCATAAAATCAGTTTTTAACTTATCACTTATCATTATAAAAAAACTTATATTCACTCCAGCAGTCACATTCATCGCCTTCGCACACAACACTGCTCTTCTCCATTATCATTTCCCACAGCAAGTCTTCCTCTCTCTCCATTATCTTCTACACAGCAACCTTCTCTCTCTCTCTGTTATCTCTCACCCAACAAAAACAAACACACACAGCCATAGCACATCGCGCACACAAAAATTATACACATCTGTATATACACAGATCTATTGCGCAGAGAGAGAGAGAGATGAGTTGGAGAAGATGAACAGTCGATCTGTGTTCAATCGCTCTGTGTTCAGCCGCTGGAAAACATGAACAGTCGGTCACATTTTTTTAACAGTCGATCTATGTTCAGCCGGTGGTGAAGATGAACAGTCGGTCACATTTTTGTTCCCCAACAAAACTCGAAAGGGAGACCTCATTAATTTGGAGTTTTGTGTTTTCCGTATTTTCATTTTACCTTAGAAAACAATGAAAACACCTTTTTTTTGTTCTCTAAATTCACATCTCATTTCTCAAAATTTTCAAAAAATTGGAGAACAAAAAAGATAAACAAACAAGTTTTCCTAGTTTTTAGAATTTTGAGAACAAAAACTGTTTTTGAAAATCTAACCAAACATGCCCTTACATTCTAACTTTCAGGGTTTATGCCATGATCAATGTGGAATACATTAAAAGGGTGGGAATACAAGCACATTGGAAGCTAGCATCATATTCTTAGATAAGTTAGCTGGAAAGAACAATAAGAGAAAGACTTAAAAAGGTCAAGTACATTTTATTTATTTTTATTTCAACTTAGAAAGGATCTACTTGAGTTCATATCTTCAGTCCCTTTACAGATTAAGAGCGACTTTCCTCCTTGAAATTTTCAGATTCTCTAAGTTGCAAGGTTCTTGCATACCTAGTGTTAGAGCATCTAACCCAAAGCCAATTGGCAATGAGTGGAGTAGCTCCTTAAGTATATGAACCAACCTTAGGTAGTCCTAATTATTCGATATGGGATACAAGCTCTCTTTACACTCTTCCTCACGTGAGACCTAGGCTAGCATGTGAGCCTAACAAACTATAACCATGCATGCCAAGAAATTCAAGAAAATACGAGACCTGACTCACTAACTGCTCGGAGCTTGATACCATATCAGACCATACAACTCAAAATTAATTGGCAACGAGTGGAGTAACCCCTTGAATATATAAACCAACCTTAGGTGGTCCAAATTATTCGACGTGGAATACAAGCTCTCTTCACACCTAGCATACAATAGTGTCCTTTTTTCCCTCCATAACTGATTCATATGGGATGAAAAGAACATTTCGTGACTCCAATATTTACTCTAGGGTGCCAAGAGATCATTGCCAACTAACCCACCACCAATATGACAATTTGTACAACATTGGCCTGATTTTAATTTTATCATTAATAAAAAATAAATTTTAATCATTTAAGGCATAACATTGTAGGCAAATATATGTATATTTATAAGTATATTTATAAGCAAAGAAGCACGGACACGAATAAGGGACATGGACACAACACAACACAGACATGCTAACAAAATTTTTCAAAAAAGTAGGACATAATATATATATATATACACACACACACATGCAAACATATAATCACGCGATAAAATAAGTATACTTTCATAATAATATTTCAATTCATCCTTTCCCTAATTCNCTGTGTTCAGCCGCTGGAAAACATGAACAGTCGGTCACATTTTTTTAACAGTCGATCTATGTTCAGCCGGTGGTGAAGATGAACAGTCGGTCACATTTTTGTTCCCCAACAAAACTCGAAAGGGAGACCTCATTAATTTGGAGTTTTGTGTTTTCCGTATTTTCATTTTACCTTAGAAAACAATGAAAACACCTTTTTTTTGTTCTCTAAATTCACATCTCATTTCTCAAAATTTTCAAAAAATTGGAGAACAAAAAAGATAAACAAACAAGTTTTCCTAGTTTTTAGAATTTTGAGAACAAAAACTGTTTTTGAAAATCTAACCAAACATGCCCTTACATTCTAACTTTCAGGGTTTATGCCATGATCAATGTGGAATACATTAAAAGGGTGGGAATACAAGCACATTGGAAGCTAGCATCATATTCTTAGATAAGTTAGCTGGAAAGAACAATAAGAGAAAGACTTAAAAAGGTCAAGTACATTTTATTTATTTTTATTTCAACTTAGAAAGGATCTACTTGAGTTCATATCTTCAGTCCCTTTACAGATTAAGAGCGACTTTCCTCCTTGAAATTTTCAGATTCTCTAAGTTGCAAGGTTCTTGCATACCTAGTGTTAGAGCATCTAACCCAAAGCCAATTGGCAATGAGTGGAGTAGCTCCTTAAGTATATGAACCAACCTTAGGTAGTCCTAATTATTCGATATGGGATACAAGCTCTCTTTACACTCTTCCTCACGTGAGACCTAGGCTAGCATGTGAGCCTAACAAACTATAACCATGCATGCCAAGAAATTCAAGAAAATACGAGACCTGACTCACTAACTGCTCGGAGCTTGATACCATATCAGACCATACAACTCAAAATTAATTGGCAACGAGTGGAGTAACCCCTTGAATATATAAACCAACCTTAGGTGGTCCAAATTATTCGACGTGGAATACAAGCTCTCTTCACACCTAGCATACAATAGTGTCCTTTTTTCCCTCCATAACTGATTCATATGGGATGAAAAGAACATTTCGTGACTCCAATATTTACTCTAGGGTGCCAAGAGATCATTGCCAACTAACCCACCACCAATATGACAATTTGTACAACATTGGCCTGATTTTAATTTTATCATTAATAAAAAATAAATTTTAATCATTTAAGGCATAACATTGTAGGCAAATATATGTATATTTATAAGTATATTTATAAGCAAAGAAGCACGGACACGAATAAGGGACATGGACACAACACAACACAGACATGCTAACAAAATTTTTCAAAAAAGTAGGACATAATATATATATATATACACACACACACATGCAAACATATAATCACGCGATAAAATAAGTATACTTTCATAATAATATTTCAATTCATCCTTTCCCTAATTCTAAAAATTCAAATCATTACATCACCACATAAAAAATACAATATAAGATATACCGATACACATTCATCATTAACATCCATGATCCAACAATCAATGAATATTACAAATTTCATTTTAAAAAATATTCCTCTTCCCAACACATTTTTCATCAATTTCAAAGGGCCCTAATTTTGTAACCCTATTTTTCATCACATTACTTTCATATTAAAAGTTTATTCCATTAATATATAAGTTCATATTCATGTCCAAAAATATGTTATACCCATGTCCTATGTTCATGTCGAGAGTTACAAATAATATGTTATACCCATGTCTCAAGTTCATGTAGTGATTATAACTCTAAATATTATGACTTTGACTCATATTTCTTTAAAATTAAAAAATAATTTCTTAATTATGAAGTCATTTGAAAATTTTTCAAATGTTTGGGAAAAAAATCTCAAAACGTGTCCCCAACATATTAGCCACATGTCCCAACGTGTCTTGAACAAATTTAACAATAAAAAATTCAGACACTCATTTTAACTTGTCTGACACGTGTCCGAGCGTGTCCGCATCCTAAACGTGTCTGACACCGACACTAAACAAAATAAAGTGTTTATGCATCTTAGATTATAAGTAGAAGAAGAAGATTTAAAGGTTCTCACATCAGTTTACATCACTCCAAAGATTCTATTTTCTAGTGCCTAACATTTTATAGACTAAACTCTATTCACCCTATGCTTAACCAAGCAAGGTTTTGATGATAATAAAAACTCTTGTATTACTAATCATTCTCACATGAGCTTGGTTGTAAGGTAGTTGATGCGAAGGATTGAATGTGTACTATGTTACATCGATTACAAAGAGTCGAAAAAAGATGTAAATGAGTTAAATGTTCAATTGGATCATTGAAGATGCGAAGAAATGAAAAGAATGAGCATTGCTACAGTTCATTGAAGATGAGAATTGGATGGATTGACCATGAGAAGCTTATTCAACAAGCTCATCGGTTTGATTTTGATCGTTATAAGTGAAGAACATGAGAGGTTAATGATCTAACATATATGATATTTGTTCATGTTAAGAAAATAATTATATTGCTTGATAAGAAGAGTTGAAGGATTAAGGCAAAGGAGTCGAACACACAAGCTAACGAGGAGGAATGCTTAAATCAATCAATTTGACATAGCTTATGAGCATAACATTCAACTCAAATGTCCAATTGACCTGATTCTTGTGAAACTAAAAAGAAGACTTTAAGGACTACAACTTTGCCTCAAAATAGAAAATTTCAAATTCAAATGTTTTCATGGTGAAAAACGACATGAAAGTTAAAGGTTGTGCATAGGTGCTGACAATCAGGAGAATCAAACATATGCGCAATAATTAGGACATAATTTTTTACTCTGATGTTCGACTGACCTTATTCCAACAGATTTGAAAGTAAGACTTCGAGAACTATAACTTTATTTGAAAGACTTTGTCAATTGGAGCAAATTTTGGACTATAGGATCTTCTTGGCGTCCGATACTTGGAACCAGAAGTCCGGATGCAACCGGAAAACTATCAAGAATTCCAAAAGGCCTTCTAGACATGACCGTTGGCGCTAGCAACAGCTAGTTTTTTACTAACTTCTCTTTTACATTTGTCTCCACTATAGAAAAGCATTGTGAGGCTTGAAGAAAGATGATTTTTTTGAAGAGTTTGTGGGGACTCCCCAGGCATTCAAATTCGTATATATACATCAACAAAAAAAATCATTATTGTGAGATTTTGACTACAAGGCCTATTGTGTTCTCTATCATTAAATTTATTTGAGTGAATCTTTGTTGTAAAGAAGGAAAGAAATTCTTGTATTCATTGAGCTTGAGAGTGTAAAGGTGTGTCAAAAAGACGAACGTTATAAGGTGTTTGATCATCACCCATGAAAATAGATCAAGATAGTCAAAGAGAAGCTCCAAGGAAGAGGTGAAAGAGAGGACGTAGGCAATCATGGTTGGGCCAAATCTCTATAAATCATGTTTGTCTTTCTTTTTCCCTCATTAATTACTTGCATCATTCTTACTACATTTCTCATCATATCATTGTACATTTTACAGTTGTTTACATTGCATAATTAGTGACAATTAAAGAAAATAAAAATTTGACATTAACTCAAACCACCTAATTCAGACTCCCCCCGCACCTGTTTCTTCTTTTTCTCCTCTTAGGTTGTATTTGGGCCAACAAACTCTACAGAGACAAACAAAGATATCTCCATACATGTAACCTTTTGAATTATGGTTGTTATTAATAAGAAGAATTAGTTGAACTTCTTTTACTTCCTCAAATTTATAAGCCTGATGAAGAGATAAAATGACAAATATTTTTTCTGCTTCTTAACAAGGAGTGGAACATATGTTTCCACAACATAGACTTCAGCAAATGATTTGACACGTTTATATTAAGGAACTCATGTTTGCACGCAAAACTAATTAATATTGTGCTGCTTATGAACTGAGACCAAACAGCCTATTCAAGACCATTAATACACAAACAAGCATTTCAATGAGGCACCAATACTCGACTATCTCATTGCATAGTCGCAAGTAATAGCACAATGCACAGAAGTGTCAAAGACTGCTTAACGACTTGTTTGAGTTCCATAGGTTCATTATTTAATGACATTCAATTTAACCCATGTATATATTCGTAACATCCCCATGAGGGTCAAATGCGAAAACTAAAGTAGCAAAAGAGAGAGTCATATTCACAGAATACATATCACCTATATCTGATCATAATCTAACCGATGTGAACTGAAAAAGGTGGTAAATTTTTAAGACAACTGTTAAAATTACCTCCATCTTCTGGGATGTCAGAGGTCCACAACGTGAGGTTGTCCCTCAGAAGCTGCATGATTAAGGTGCTATCTTTGTATGACTCCTCATTCAGGGAATCCAGCTCCGAGATTGCTTCATCAAAAGCTTGCTTTGCAAGGTGACACGCCCTAAGGAAAACAGGTTCCACATCAAACAAGGTATAGAGAACACGTCTCAACTTATACAGGCTGAATATGACACTACACGAACCTTTCAGCTGAATTCATAATCTCATAGTAGAAGACGGAGAAATTCAAAGCCAAACCCAACCGAATGGGATGAGTAGGAGGCAACTCAGCCTCAGCTGAACTGGTAGCAGCCTGCAAACATTTTCAAAAGAAATATAAGTAGAAGGGGATAAAGCAAACATGCAATGTAGCATGTTTACACTGTCAATGATGCAGAAATTAATGCTATGTTTGGAGTTCCACGATATTAACAAAAACACTCTAGCAACAGATATCCTTAAAACCTATGACAATCACATGCAGCTAAAAAGTTGGAATAGAGTCATGGTTCCAACTAGGAGCTGATACCAATACGAGTAGGACGAGTGTATCCAACTCAGAACATTCCGACCTGATGCCATTCAACTTTTAACGTAAACACACAAATCTCATGCACTTGGCAGTCCGAGAAATCTCCAACAGCAAGTCATCTAAGTTATCTTTACCGAATGACACAATACTATCCTACAACGCCGCGATAGGGCCTGAATTTCTTTTAATTGTAAACTTCTTCTGTGAAGCATTTTGTGCATATCACTATATTCGTTTCAGGATGCCACGCTTTATATCTCTCAGTGCCTTACCTTGAACCATGAATAGCGCTTTGCACATTTCTTGCAGATAATCAAGAAATGATAGAGCTATGAAGCACTGGCTCGAACACATGATAGGGGCATGAAACAACACAGACAGGTTTCCTACCAAATCCTTCAAAAGTGCGACAAATATTACGAGGACACATTACAACACAATGTGCTCTATACATTGGATTCTATAAATGATAATTCTCCCCATCTACCAATTCCCTTTCCTTTAATAAAATCTACAACTATCTTACTTTTGCTTGTCCTAATAAATTTTAAATATCTTCTTGTGATTACGGCCAACCATTATATACTTTCCAACTATAAAATAGCCATCATTAACTTCCAAGCTTTGTTAGCAATGAGTGCTGAAGAACTATAAGCCGTATGTATTTATTTTTAGTCATTAAATAGTCAAAGAAGTGCCAAGTGGCCCAAAATGCGCCCCGAATACGTTCAAATAATAAGCAGCCATGTAGTTGCAACACCCCATAAGAAGCAATCATAAGGGCTTAAAGCCACAAAGCATTATACTTCAATAGAATCCCTTACCATGTAGTTGCAACATCACATTACCCAGAATGCTCTTCGGATATACTCTTTTCAATTGAGCAGCATTGCCAACACCATGGCTATAACCAACAAGTGTCTGAATGTTCACTAGGGATTCCTAATCTCCCGAGACACTCGAGACAATTTGTAGAAAATGAGATCTCTTGGAATTCCAACAGTCTCTTTAGTGATAGAAGCACTAAAGGGAGTATATTCAATCAAACATTGTTTGGTGCAGTTGAGCTCACACAAAAATGCTTACATTTCTTTAATTAGATGACCCAAATTACTACAAAGTGCAAGAACAAAAGATTGTCCTTCAATGAGAAAGGCGCAATAATCATGCCAGAGTGTGAATAAATAGATGGTCCCCCAAGCAACCACTCTTGCAACACCTTTGCCTCACCCACAGACAATTCTAAAAGAACAGAGAAGGAATAATAATAAAAATTAAAGAAGCCTTTTAAGTATAAAATTAGCTTAAATCTTTTCATTTGCAACTGATCAAACCATGCTCAATGAGCTTCAGGGGGTACTTTTGGACACCTTGGCACAAGTATAGAAAGCAAAACAAATATAAACTCATTCAAGTCTAGCATCAACATTCTAGGTCATAATAAAGAACACCAACCAAGAACAACTTAGCAACACTAATGAATGGGTAAAGGTAAAACCAAAAGAAATAAACGAGGGTAAACTGCAGATTGCAGAACAAAACAGCAGTTCCAAGAATTACATACCTCATATGCTTTTAACGAAAGATCAGCAACCTCTTTCCTGTCATTCCCCATCTTGAACTCTGCAAGATAGCGATAATAATCCCCTTTCCTGCTCCCAACAACAACACAAAATTTTAGTTTCCAATAAATTCAAACCACAAACAAAACCATTACTAGATACATCTATGAAAACATTAAGTTCTCACATCTTATAGTAAAACACAGTCGATTCACCAGCTGTACAAGAAGGAATTAGATGCTCATCTATCACGCTCATGATATCGCTACAAATGCTTGTGAGCTCTAACTCAACCTTCTGTCGGTAACCCTTGATTCGCTTGACATTTTGCTCGTTCCCTCTTGACTCTTCTTTCTGCTCAATTGACGACAAAATCCTCCATGATGCTCTTCGTGCGCCAACAACATTCTTGTACCCAACAGACAACAAGTTCCTCTCTTCCACAGTCAACTCAACATCCATATTTGCAACCTTCTTCATCGCATCCACCATCTCTGTTAAAATCAATGAAAATTTCAACCAAAAACACAAGAAAAATGAAAGAACAATTAGATTTGAACAGAGATGGTGGATGCGATCAAAATATGTCGTATGAACTCCTAATTGCGAGTCGGTTTGCTGAGAAAACCAATAAAAAGGAAAGAAAATTGAGATTTTGAGTTTTCTGATTAATTATTATAGACCTAGTTTGGGTGGTTAGAATACAAGAAGATATTAAGTTCAAAGTCTTCCTCTTTTCAAGTTTTCTGCATAAAGACTAACATAAAAACCTTAAACCTCAGCTAAATTTCTGAGAAAGTGAAGGGATAAAGAAAGAGAAAATTGGAAGTTCAATGGAGATTAAAATTTCAAAATTGAGAAATCTAGATTTCTTTGCTTTGTCAAAATATTCCTAGTAAGCAAACAAACCCTACGCCTCAATTTGCTTGCTGATAAAAAGATGAAGGTAATGAATACCGAAAATCTCTTAGTTATATGGTAAATCGGGGGAGTATAGGTTAAAATCTAAAAATATATACTTTTAATTTTTTCCTTATGCAAAATTTTATCAGGAACCAAACAGAGGAGAACCATAACCCTTCCGAATAGCCGAGAAAGTAGAGGAACACATGATAATACCAAATAAAAGAAAGTCAAAAATGCAATATTGAGTCTGCTTAATTATACTAGACCTAGTCGAGTGGAAGCCAAGATCTACGAATGCAAAAAATCTCAATTTCTTTTCATTTGGAAATTTTCTCAGGAACAAAACAAAGTGAAACCCAAATCCCAGTTTACTCAATAATACTCGTAGTAAGGACAGTCAAGTGGAATTTCACATTAAGAACACGAAGTTCCAATTTTAGCTTTTCAGAATTTTCTCATTAACCAAACAGAGAAAAAAACCCTAAACCACAGTTTAATTGTTTAGCTTCAAAATTTCAATCTGAAATTTTCAAGTTTTTGATCTTCAGCAATTTTCTCCGTGATCAAACAGAAGGAAAGAGAAATTGATCGTAACTAGTACAGAATGAAACTTCCAATTGAGATCTGGACAAATAAATATGTAGAGACAAAGATAGAAAGAAAGAAATCCTAACCATCATAACGTTCAGCTTGTTCAGCAAGCTTGGCGATGTAGACGAAGTTTTCGCGTTCTTTGGATAAAGCCATGGCCGATCTACAAGAGAAAGCTTAGGGTTTTTTACAGGAGGGTTCGTGTGTGTGTGTGTGTGTGTGTGTGTGTGTGTGTGTGTGTGTGAGAGAGAGAGAGAGAGAGAGAGAGAGAGAGAGAGAGTGTGTCTTGTGTGTGCGAGAAAAAAGTAGGAAAAATGTTAGGGTGGGGATACTCCCGCCCCCATTTAATATTTTATCATCAAATTATATTCGCGAAAATAGGAAATAAGTTCATCGTATATTACTTACGCCCTTCTGAAAAAGAAACTATTATATATTTTATCATAATTAAAATTTTATTTTCTATCTCATCTCATATACTCTCAAAAATAATTTTTTAATATGAATTTTTTCAATACTATACAGGTTAATATTACTTTTTCAAGTTAATTCTATATTTGATTTCATGTTTGTTATATGAATTTTTATTATTTTTCGTATATTTTAATATCTCTATCAAATTTAATAATATTTTATTTAGAATTTATATATGTGTGTATATATGTATGCCTTCAAATTATTTGTTCCTTTTTATTTTATTTAGGTTTTATATTTATACTTATTATTTTTCTTTTTTGTTCAATTTTGTGTATGTGCTTGATGCTTTTTTTTTCATATTCGATATTGCATCTTGTGGTTTTGTGTTTTATAGTTTTGCTTCTTATAATTTTGCTTGTTACTTTAATTTTTATTTAATTTTTTTTCCTTCTTGTTTTGGTTTACTTTTTCTTTCTTATATTTTTCCTTGTTTTGCTCTTTTCTTTTTAAAATGCGTGTATGTAATATGAGGGTAGATTTATTTACTAATGGAATGGGTATAGATGAAATGAGCTTAGGAGTTTGATAATAAGAAATTAAATAGGATAAGAATGGAGATTTGTGGGGTAAGAATAGTTGCACCCAAAATGTTAAAGGGAATCCGACTTAACACCTAAAAGATTTAAGTATTTTTATTTTATACCTTTAAATATGAGATTTCTTATATTTTATCCTTAATTTAATAATATGGTCCTTCTATTATTTTCAATTGCTTATTCCATCAAAATTCACTCCAAGGAGTAACAAAAATTAACGGAAGAGTCACATTGTAATATTTTTAATATATTAGAAATTTAATGTGAAAAATTTAATCTTTAAAAATATAAAATAAATGTTTTAAGGTATAAAATATAATTTGCCCAAAATACTAATGGATCTAGTGGAAAAAAAAGGATAATTTGGTATAAAATGCAATTGGCCCAAAATGCTAATGGATTCTATGTAGTGATAGAAAAAAGGGTAATTTATAATTTATACCCCTAAAGTATGTGCCTAATTCTATTTATTAATTTACAACAATCACATATTTAAAGTTTTAAGTAAATCCCAACTTAGTTTTTTTTATCCAAATCTATTATTTTTGTTCCGCTAGAATGATGCAACAAGACATTTCCCTAAGGGTACATTTGTCTAACAAAAAATATGTCTCTCAAATACATATGTATTCTTCTCGTTCTCACATACTACCTCTTAAATTATCACTCTACAAGGAGTAACACATGCCTGAATAGTTTTGAGACAGATGTGATGAGCGCGTAATATTGCATATCTAATTGCCTCATTTCATGCATTTTAATTCAACTTTGCATTTAATTACTTAAAGTTACTCGAATTTATGAATAATGTTGAAATTTTGATGTTACAGGTAATCATAGGGTAAATAATAGCTTTCGAAACCTTGCAACTAAGTGTGAATTGTGGTGAAAATATGAACACATTATATGAGGATTTGGATGCTTAAAAGTGAAAGAAATCAAGGACGTATCGGAACTTGGTAACATAGGTACTCGCACCTACACCATTTGGTATCGGTACCTCAGTATTCTCTATTTTTGACCATGATCCACTTAAAATCTGAAAAAGTGCAAAACATGAAAATTGTATATTTGTATGTCCTCTATCTTTTGTCAAAGTTTCAGCTCAAAGCGGACGGTGGGATCAAAAGTTATGGCAAAGTTATGAAAACTAGTCCATAACTTGCATCCCCCTTACGACCTACTAGTAGAAGGAAACCAAAACCTACCGGTAGATTTTGTTAACACACGCCAGAACTTGCAACTTAGACTCTACCTGTGTTGGGGGGCCCACCTCTACTTTTTCCACACATCCCTTAGCATATTCTACATACAAGTATACCTCCCTACACCTAGGATTGGACTTTGGAAGAAAAATCATGAAAGAGGAAAAGCGAGAAAGAGGGAGGCATGGTGGGTTGCTGGCTAAGCTTGTCATAGCTTGTGCAAGTGTCAAATCAATTTCCATTGATAAGAAGTTAGTTCACATAGGCTAAGGGAAGAGGGATTGGCGAAATTTACCAAGTTTTACACCATTTATATAGATTTTGAAAATCTTCTGGAAGGATGAGGCTACCTAAGCTTAGGAATAGTTTTAGAGATAGAAAGCTCAAGGAATAAGAAGAAGTTAGAAAGAGAAAGCTGGGTTTTCATATTTCTTTACTATTTTCAGTGTTGTAAGATTTAAACTATTTGTAATCTTTCCCCTTTTCACTTTCAACTCTTTCATTCAAGTTGTATGCAAGCTTAGCTAAGTATTTCTAACATTTTCAAGTTCTACATTTGGGTATTTATTTTCAATCTTTGTATTTTGACTATGAATGTCATTTCTCTTGTTGTTTAACTCTTTTATTGCATTAATACTAGTTCCATGTTTTATTTTTTCATCATGTTTCTTTACATTATGCATGTCTCTTGCATTCATTATGAGTAGCTAAGTTTTTAGTTGGCTAATCCAAAGGGGATTTCCTCTTGGGTATGCTAAATCAACTCTCCTCCATTCTTCCTCGTAGTGTAAAGTGTTTGATTTGACTAGGTTGAGTACAGACGTGATTGTGAATTCTTGATACACCGTAGACTTGTCACGGGATATGCTTGAGCCTACACATCCACATTAGTCCTTCATTTCCTACAAATCAATCAAGCACCGAGACACCATTGGAAGAATGTTTTGAGTTGATTTGACATTCTCATTAAAATGACCCTTTCGGATTAGTCAACCTTGTTTTAATTACATTTTTAGCAAAAACTCGACTCACCAAAACACAAACTCACAAGATTTTACACTTTTCTATTTTTACAAAATCATTTTCACCACAATTCGATCTTGCTTTCCTGAGGAGACGACTTTGGAATACCCATTCCAAGTAAAACACGACACTTACAAGTCTCTCTTTGCTTGGGGAGCACTTTTGCACACACACACAATTTCATCAATACACATGTTTTCCCCATTTCTAGCATTGAACCCGAAGGAGTGACACTCACCTATACACAAAAACCATATACACATTCAAGGGTTTGTGTTCGGAGATTAGGATGAACACAAGTTAAGCAGGATGTTAGTGGTCATTCGATGAATCTATTTGAGACTGTCGAATGAATTTATTGAAGTTTACCCTGTTTTATATTATAGATATCATTTTTTTTTTGGATTTATTATTTTTTTTTCTCAAAATCAAATAAAACAAATTAAGATTTTCTAGCATATGCAAGAAAAAAAAATTACCAAAAAAATATACCTCTTACCCAAATAATGTGTTGGTTACAAAAGGTCATTTTATCATAATAAATTAGTGAATTTGGATGTAAGGATTAATTTGAAACTCAATAAAAAAATATAAGAATTTGATTATTGCTTGAAACTTTAAGAAAACAATAGAAATTAGATGCATGCTTTTAAGGGTGCTGATGGTAAATATCCAAAGAAATATTATATTTTATATCCTTAAATTTCTCCTTTTCACCATTCTTACTATTGAGCTTTTATCTCCACACAAAATCGAGTGTTGAAAGAAAAAGTGATGTAATTATTTATTCAATTCGTAATGTACATCCATAGCAGCAATACATAATTATAACTATAGTTAGAGGTATAATATAGTCTACATGTTAGTTATAAGGCAAATGTTAGGCAAGAGGTAGAGTTGAAAAGGTCAAAGTGTTTTTGATTCATATATTTTAAGGAAAGCTATTATCTTTTTTTAATGATAGTGTAAATCTATATCTATTTGAAATGTAGGACTATTATGAGTAGTGCACTTCCAACATATGAAATGTCATATATTATAAAAGATGATATTTGGTATATACTTTAAAATTCATTTTTTTTTATTGTCAACCATAAGTTTTGAATTCTTGGGCTAACTGTTGTCTATAAATATTACAAGTAGTCAACTGCGCTATAGCTACTTTGATAATTGACATTATTTTCGGATGACAAAGCATTAAGGAGATTTTAATTGAAAGATGCATTCAAGCTATGTTGATTGGGTTTTCTACTAAGCAATGTTATTAACTCTTAACACTTTTTTTTTTGGGCTAAAGAATGAAAAAATAAAGCACCAAACTAATTTCATCTTTTCCAAAGAGTTTAAAAAGTCATTCCAAACATCTCGGCTTGTCCTCCTCATTTAGTATAAAATTTTCCATACCACATTGTGATTTGGACACACACAGTCCAATTTCTCTCTAACTAACTAACACGATCTTTTCTCTTACATATAAGAATAGTAGAAACTTGACTACGATGCGGGTTGAAAATTCAAATTTTTCTAGAATTTAGATGAAGAAACAGATTTCACCGTTGGATTTGTAGAACAAAATCTAGCTATCCAGTAATTTTTTATTGAATTTTGAGATAGTCGAATTTTTTACATTTTACGAGGCGATCAGGTGTCGTGCAACTATAATAAACACAATCAATTTTTTTTTGCAAAGCCTGAGAAATAATTTAAAGTTAGTTTAATAAAAATACACTAAAGTTAACATGGGACAAGGTGTAATTAATTCAGGATAAAATTAGATCCAAAAAAAAATTGAGACATGTGGCGCAATGAGGGCCAAACAAATGAGGAGTATAAAAAGGGAAAAAATTAGTTTTTCCCTAATATTCTTAGCCATTTCAATAGAGAGAGAGAGAGAGAGAGAAAACCAGAGAATAGA